TGTACTAAAAGAAGAAGAAATAGAGAGAGAAGCGTTTTGGCAGGACAATTGAAAAATAATAAGAGCACTCTAGAAACCAAAGTGGATAGACGAAATATGAGTGTTTATTATGAATGATACGCAGTATCACGCACCTACCCATACCGGTTCAAGGACAATAGGGTATCCACACTTGAAAATTAGAAGAAAATGTATGAGAGATGTAGGAAGGAAACACACATTAAAAGCGTTGAATAAATCCTGGTTTAGGGTTAAATTGCGCAGGTTAATAGGAGCGTACTTTTTTTTTCATAATTTAAAAACATAAAAGTCATCTAAGATGGTGTAAAAACAATAAAAATAATGAAACCTAAGAGGGTGTTTAATCCTCCCTTAGGGAAAATGATTTCAAGATAAAATGAATATTCAAAAAACGTTCATTTTAGAATAAGAGGAAAAACATTGTCGTGACCAGGATTCGAACCTGGGTTATTACAGTCACTCACACGAGCACACCCCTAACTCTCACCCTCAGCCCAATTCCCTAACCCACTTATTCCATATCAAAATCAAAGTAAAAACCCTAACAGTCAAACATCAGAGTGAGACAAACAATGGAAATAATAAAACGCAAGATGGTGACTCATACTTCCAATGGTAGAAGTGAATTGAAGATGTCATTAGCATTCGTATCGTGTAAAAAAAAAAATCGAGAAGAAAAGAGGTTTCTTTCCGCCTAAACCCTATGTGAATAATTCATCCCACTCCAATAAAATGAAAATAGTTCGGATGGTGATCACTCAGTTAATGAGTATTCAAAATTATCTGAAAACGAACAATGGGTCGTTCGAGATATAAACATGTGATAGCTTTTTTCTCAATAAAAATATTTACTTTAGTTCAAATCTTAATTAAAAATAAACTGTAACGCGTGAGTGTGATCACTAGCAGTGACGAAAGTGTTTTAAATTCTATACAAAATTCCGCAAGTGAGGAAAAAATATCAACGATACATCGACGCAATTCAATGACAATGATTCGAAGAGAAATAATTAAATCTCCCGTTTAAAAAAATTATCAGCAAAAAAAATCGAACGAAAAGGGTATTCAAAAACGGAGCACTGTGGGATTGAGACTGCCGGTTTGAAAGATGAGCTTTTGTTCAAGATTTTTACGGCTTTCCGTGCCACCTAAGTGCAAGGAAAGACCGCAGATTGCCATATGTTGCTTAGAATGATTAGGTAAATTAAAATGTCTAGCGATTAGGTAAATTAAAATGTCTAGTGATTAGGTAAATTACTGATGGCAGTCTCAATCCCACAGGGATCAATGAACGCTTTTCATTCCACTAATTTATTCATGTTTTTCTCGTTACCATGCACCCACCAATAACGTAGCTCCATTTTCTGCCTTTAAAAGCACACACAACCCACAATTCCTCTATTCGCTCCGACGAAGGGCTAACGCTCGAAACGTCAGCTTTTGTAATCATTACGGTGGCCAATTTACCATTTCAACTTTGTTGATATATCCAAATTATTTCGTTACTCCCACCGACGCAGCCCCAAACAGTTTCTTTCGAAACTATCAGCCTTTATTCATTTTTATCAACTTGAAAGCATCTTGACTTCTTCCTTTCAAGTTTTCGGCTAACGCCAGCTATAAACATCAAGGTTTATTCAAATTTTTCGTATCCTGTAGTGATGTAACCACCGAAAAGTCTAAGACTCTTTAAATTAAAGATATCTACTGAGTGAGAATGTCTTACATCACTAACGGTAGAAGGGGACAAGGGGGCAGGAGCACGGGAGAACAGGAGCACGGGAGAACAAGGGGCGATACAGGGCGGGAGGCAGGATTTATGTGAGGGCCGGAAAGGGAAGCAGAAAATACTCGTAAAAGCAAAGCAAAGCTTTTTGACTTAATTTTATTTAACTTCCACCAAGGCTTTAAAGAAAAGTTTTCGCGTACGAAACGTAACTTTGTACTCGGCTGGTGTAATTAGATACCTCTAAAAGTCGGTATCGTTTTAGGTAATGATTGAGGTAGCATGAAACTACACAGTGTCATCGAATTAATTTGATGGCCTGCTCCCAGTTGGCTTGTTAGCTCAATTGGTAGAGCGCTGCACTAGTATCGCAGAGGTCAGTGGTTCGAATCCCGTACAGGCCTGAAATTTTTTTCAGGTCTGATTTTCACTATTGCTCAAATAGTGCTTTACTGCGAAGGATCGTGCTCATATACATATTTTCATTTTATTGGAGTGGGATGAATTATTCACATAGGGTTTAGGCGGAAAGAAACCTCTTTTCTTCTCGATTTTTTTTTACACGATACGAATGCTAATGACATCTTCAAATCACTTTTACCATTGGAAGTATGAGTCACCATCTTGCGTTTTATTGTTTCCATTGTTTGTCTCACTCTGATGTTTGACTGTTATGGTTTTTATTTTGATTTTGATATGGAATTGGGCTGAGGGTGAGAGTTAGGGGTGTGCTCGTGTGAGTGACTGTAATAACCCAGGTTCGAATCCTGGTCACGACAATTTTTTTTCCTTTTATTCTAAAATGAACGTTTTTTGAATATTCATTTTATCTTGAAATCATTTTCCCTAAGGGAGGATTAAACACCCTCTTAGGTTTCATTATTTTTATTGTTTTTACACCATCTTAGATGACTTTTATTTTTTCAAATTATGAAAAAAAATACGCTCTTATAACCTACGCAATTTAACCCCAAACCAGGATTTATTCAACGCTTTTAATGTGTGTTTCCTTCCTTCATCTCTCATACATTTTCTTCTAATTTTCAAGTGTGGATACTCTATTGTCCTTGAACCGGTATGGGTAGTTGCGTGATACTGCGTATCATTCATAATAAACACTCATATTTCGTCTACCACTTTGGTTTCTAGAGTGCTCTTATTATTTTTCAATTGTCCTGCCAAAACGCTTCTCTCTCTATTTCTTCTTCTTTTAGTACAGACCATTCGCATTGACCGCAATCACAGGAGAAATCGTAAAAGTCAGACATTATAATACTGACCAAGAGTTTATAGCGACAAGGTCTACCCGAACACTTTGACAGCTTGTCAATCCCTGTGTCTTACGATCGTACATCTCTTACATTTTTTAAACGTAAAAGTCATACGTCCTGAATAACCTGTACCACATGCGTGTGAAAACCTTTTGGGACTCTTATAAATACAACTTCTGCTCACTGTGATAATCGGTTAGATTAGTATGTCTAACCCGCGCTACCCAAACGCGTAAATACAAATACCCAAATGCGTAATACAGGGTCCATTCTCTTTTCCCTGTGTTGTGTTTACGTATGCGAAAGCAGTGTGTTGGAGTTAACCACTCCGCCATCTTGGATTCTTTTGTTCCCATTGTTTTGAGAAAACCGTTATTTTTTAAAATGAGATGCGAAAAAACCCTACACACGAACCAACGTGAAATCTAACCCTAACCTCCCCAACAACCCTAACCCTAAAACAACCCTAACCCCAACAACCCTAAACCCCAACAACCCTAAACCCCTCGTTCACCTACGCCGCATGAATAAACCGTAAAACCCCCCTCGCGCACCTACGCCGTATGAATGTTTAATTAGAACCCACTCGGCCAAATCACTCGGACCCAGACCGCGCGGAAGTTGCCATAAATCCATGATTCTCACGTGGGAGAACAATCTACTTTCCATCAATTTTACAGAGACATGATGACAGCTTGTCAATCAGAGCGACATTTACGTTCAAACACATTTATGTATAAAAATGATCTTACATTTTACATTCATTTTAAACACCATGTCATCTGAAAAACAATTGTTTGGACGAAGATATTGAACAGAATCCCCAGTGGGCCGGTGCCGTCCTAGACGAATTATTTGCCATCGTAAAAGAAAAAGCTACCACGCAAGATCTTTGTGAAATACGCAGACAAGTGACTAAATACATTGACGAGATTGAAATCTATGATGCAAAAAGTGGGAGAACAAACTACTTTCCATCAATTGTACAGAGACATGATGACAGTTTTTCTAGCTTATGTTACCTATTTACGACTCAAATATCGTGCAGAGTGAACAAATAAATCGTATCCAATGTTGTACTTAATTCCTCCGCCATCTTGGATTCTTTTGTTTTTGAAAAAACCGTTATGTTGTTTTTAATAACCCTTCTCACGAACCTATGCGAAATTTAACCCTAATAAACCCTCGTACACCTACACGAAATTTAACCTTAATAACCCCCATCATCCGCTTTAAATTATATTTTCGCATCATCCGCTTTAAATTATATTTTTGTTCTCGCAGGTGTGTCGTTAAGGGATTTTCTCATTCTTTAAGAGATCATCGGAGGTTTTAGAAATTGTTTTTCAGGCTAATTGTGTCTCAGACTCTAATGTTCTTTGGTCTTCTACCAATATTCGTCTGAAATTTTTCATCGCCGGATGGTACGTTGTGACGAAAGGCAGTAAACGTTGGTGACCCTCCTGCCATGAGGCGTTGTTTGAATTTCAAAAGACCATTCGGCAGCGAAAATTTAAAATTTTACTACCCAGGAAACATCATAGAAAGGTCTGTTAGGTGTCAACTTTGCCTTCAAACTGGCGGCTCTTTCACATGCACAAAAGCGATTACGTTCGCGATTTTACGTGAGGTTTATAGGTAAGGATTTCGTAATGCCGGGAGCTTTTTATTTTCGCCAGTAATGCGCGTTGTTTTGGTCAGATAACTTTTATTGCTAGATGATTTCAACTTAGTCGTTTGTTTCGTTTAGTTTTTGCGAGCGCAAGTTTAAAGTTCGTTTCTATTTCATTTAGTTTTTTGGCATTGTCCTTTTTGTTTTATTTTGTACTTAGATATGTTTTAATTATTTAATTTCAGTCGATTCACACACACATCCGACCACCTTCAAATCTTTACATCTAAGACACATCCAGCCACAGGTGGCCCACGCTCCAGCTGTGAGATGATCATCTTGCGCAATGACAGTCATGGTAGAATTGTAAGAATTTGTATGGGAATATTTAAGACCGCTCTAATGAGTAAAAAAAATACGTCTAATTCTCATTAAAAGTACTTCACCTTACTTCCACAGGGTATCGCTTGTTATCTGACCACTTACTTTGATAAAAAGGACCCATTTCAGCAAGTTGTCCATCTCGAGGTTTTCAACGTACATAAGGCTTTTCTTATGTACGTCGAAAAGGACAACTCGCTAAAATGGGTTCTTTTCATCAAAGTAAACGGTCAGATAACAAGCGATACACTGTAGAAGTAAGATGAGGTAGTTTTATTCAGAATTAGACGTATTTTTTTATTCCTTAGTGCGGTCGTAAATATTCCCATACAAACTCTTATAATTCCGCCATGACTGTCATTGCGCAAGATGATCATCTCACAGCTGTAGCTTGGGCTGCCTGTGGTCCATGTGGTTAACAAATTCAATATACATTCGCTTTGTGGCGTCAAACGATAATGCGATAATGCGACGCGACCACAAAAGCCCCATTGGACCGGAGTCTGGTCTGTCTTTCTAGTTTTATTCTCGTGTGGAAACCATTAGGAGGCTTGGTTACTAAATTGAGCCTGGTTTCTAAGCTCCTTAAGAAAGTGACCCCAAAAAATTGAGATTTTTGCTGGCCGCGGTCGGACGTAGATTGTGAACTCCGCTGTATTTCCATATCATTATATTGCTATTTCCTCCTTACTGGAGTGGTAAGAGAGCTACGTTACGTTCGCAACTGGCAATAAGGGGTAATCAAACAAGTGAACACCTCTTTAATCAATTTAGGGGATCAAAATAAGCTTTCAACATACACTGTCCTTCTTGTACTATTAGAATTTTGACACGATTGATCACAGTGTACTTCCACGACGAAGGCTTCACTTGTCATTTGGAATTGCTGATACAATATTGAATAGTTATCTTCATATTTGACGTCAAGAAGACAAAGTGTTTCAATCTGTGGCACTTTCTTTAACAGTTTCGGTCAGAATTGGGGTGTACCGTGACTGGGGTCAGTCTTGGCCCTCCATCATATATAGTTTACTCTCCAAAACCGTTTCGTATCATTGAACAATATCTGCCACTGCCGAAGTTTAGGTTCTTTCCTCGTGCTGAGATGATAACCTTGAAATGGCGAGCATTTTCACTGATTCTGAGTTAAACTCTTTCGGGAAAATGCTGTCAAAGTTTTCCTTTAAAATGCAATTTTGACCTTTGAAATATATTTCCTTTATTTCAACGGGAGCTACAGACTCCAAAATTGAATAACTGATCCTATTTAAGACTGATTCTTCTTTCTGCGAAAATATTAAATAGATATTGGCTGACCTCTGCGCTTTTGAAGAGAAAGTCAATTCACTTTCTATGAAAAGGAGTTTCACTATAATTTTTGAAATACCGCTCATTACATTTTATTAGATTTGTCTTATAATTTTTTCTGATCACTGATTACTGAAAAATATGTCGTTATGAAGTTTGGCTAAGCCTTTAAGGTGAACGGACTCAAACACAAAAAGTATGAAGCACCACTGCACCATAAGTAATTCACTGCCTTCAGGGGTCATCTCCACATTATTAACTTCATAAACGTGCTCTTGCTCAAAATTAAAAGATAGACACTTTGTAAAAGATGACACACATGTTTGCATTGTTGAACGAAGCCGTTGGCTCAGTAACCTGCCTCGGACCTCGTTGATCAATGGCCCAGACCTGTTACTTCAAAGACCTTGAATGAGTGTGGAATTCCTTATTCACGTAAAAATCAGTTTTTACTTACCACCTAATCTTTGCAAATCATCTTAATGGTAATTACACAGTATCAATTCGATGGTTCAGATCACTTTATCTGTCAGATGATGCTTTTAATATTCTTCCATTGAGACAAATGAATGAAAGCTGGGAATCTAAACTCCCAGTCGTAGCGATTTAAGTAGTGAGCAGTTAAACCTTGATTTCACCACATTTGTAATCGGGTAAAACGTCACTAGTCTGTCAAAACCGACATACGTCGAAATCTACATTTTCAAAGAGTATACTCTAGTTCAGTTTTGCTTTAATTTGAACGAAATAATTCACATATTGGTTTTGTTTTTCCTTTCTTTCATATTAAGGTTAGGGACTTCCAACGTGTCGAAGGAACACCACACGATAGGAGTTCAAAAACCCCTCATTATGCAGAAACCAGGAGACAAAGATTTTGCACAACTGAGAAAGCAACATTTATCCCTCGATCCAGGGTAAGCGGAGTAGATTTTTACCCGAATCTTACTACGGTATTGAAATCTTGTGATATCAAATTAAACCGATCTTAACTCCGTGGAGAAAAAATAAGCAAGAACAACGAAAACCTGTGGCTATTCGGTGAAAAATATTTATAACTACATACATAATAGTATAGAATATAACGGTACGATAGCCATTAAATCATGCGCTGTAATGCCAAGTGAATCTACTAAGAACAAACAGAAATGTAAATAAGCACATATTAAACAAGAAAACTTCTTTTGAAATGAAGAACAAAGAACTGGGAACAAAGGAAAACGTCTATTTGCAACCACATTTTACCTAAAATAGTCAATTGAAAATGACAAACAGTGATGATGAATAGCCCTTCTTCTTGAATTTCAAGTCCAATATTTACATTCGTTAATGATTTTAAGAATCGTATAGGCTTAGTGCTAGTAAGAAATTTTGGATAAAATATTTCACTCAAGATCAAAGTGGAAATGAAAGGCTTGGGTTAAACTGGAAGTAAGGTGGGATAACTTTGCACTTTGTTTTCTTCAAGACTATCTAATTACAAGGTTTGCAACTATCAACGGCTTCTCTTAAGTGGTTTTTGTCACCTTAAATCCTAAAAATGAAGTGAATTGGACCCTATTCAAACAAAAATAATAAGTTATAGCGTATTGATGCGTGCTTTTGTGTATTATTTTTGTTTAAGAAACATTTGCTCAATCATTCTCCACTGTGCGCAACTATTGATCGTACTGCTCTTTTGTTTGTCGAAATCCAAAAAAATTAAAATAAGTTGGCCGCATATAGCTCTTTAATTTGTTTTTAAGACATCTAATAGCTTTTGGACGATTAGGGAGGAAATAGCGTTTTTTGCGGCTCACTTCAGTTACCTAGTCACCGTATAACATAAATATGTTTGAAAATGATTGCTCACGTTCAAAGGTTAGGTGCGGTTATCAAAGGGGTCTTCTTGTTTATGAAAACTATGGATTTCTGTGTTTCAGTGCCTGGTAAATATGGGTCGATTTCTTGTTTCTCATGTTTGATAGAAATCTGTACAATTTAACACCATTCTGAATTATCAGTTTCTGCGTATATAATATTACTTAATTCGTGTTTAAAGTTTTCCTTAACAATTCACAGGCCTAAATTATTGTAGCTTAAGCGTTAATCAAGTCTTCCAAACCTATTGTCCTCTCGTGAAACCACCACGACCATTGGATTCAAGCATCATTGAGCAGAACCCACAAATTTAAAAAAGATAACCATTCCGTGACAACTTGATACCTATTACTTTAGCCACGGGACCTTACAATGGTTTAGGCTTACTAAACGTCTACACGCGTGGGGCAGGACCTTAGTTTAATCTCGTTTTGTAAGTTTTCCACATTAGGTGTAAGGAAACTGAAATTTGAAATATTTTAATCAGGCACAGGGCGAGTAAATCAACTCGGTGGTATTTACATCAACGGGAAGCCCCTACCCATTGAAGTTCGAGAAGAAATCATTGAATTGGCGCGACGCGGAGTTCGTCCTTGCGACATTAGTCGAAGGCTAAAAATAACCCATGGTTGTATCAGCAAGCTGCTCTCAAAATATCGGAAAACGGGATCAATCAACGTTGGAGGTGCTAATGTCGGAAGGCCTAGAGTCATAACCCTCATAATGGAGCAGAAGATAGAGCAGTATAGGCGAGAGCAACCAGGAATTTTCTCCTGGGAGCTGCGTGATCGCTTATTGCGTGAAAACGTGTGCAGTAGAGAGAATCTACCCTCGCTGAGTTCAATCAGCCGCCTTATCAAGAACAAGATGATGAGTCTAGTTTCTAACAAAAAACTAGAATGCAGTACGAATGAGAGCGACCCTCCTGCTGTCAACACCAACACTTCCTACTCAAATGGTGAGTCTTTAAATCAAAGAACGGAAGGGCCTGAATGTAACCAAGGTAAGGGAACAGTAATGGCTTCTACTCTCTCGTGTTGTAATAAGTCTGCGTAACAGTGCTTTCCGTTTTGCTTTCCGTTTGATTGAGCGAGAGTCGCACATGGTCATGAAAAAAGGTAAAAAGTCGTCTTCCTTTATATCCCTTGTTAGCTCTTATTTTGTTTTCGTCAGCAGTAAACTTTCACAAAGGAATCCTCTTACACAGGAGATTATGAATTATAATTTAATTTATAATCAGATTGCGATCTCTTGTCTTACATCAATATCCATGCCAACCAAAAATTTGAGATTTTGAGTGTAACTAAATATTGAATTTAGCACTCTGGCGGAATGTTGTCGGTGGCCTATTCTCCAGGAGGAGCGATGGGCTTAAGTAAGTAAGTAAGTAAGTAAGTAAGTAAGTAAGTAAGTAAGTAAGTAGGTAAGTAAGTAAGTAAATATTGAATGAAATTAATATAATTCAATTTTTCGGTGAACCTATCTGTTTATGAACTGAATTATTATTGGTTTCACGCAGAAACATATAAATTAACCTCGTAGCGTCTAAATTCTTCTTTTTAAAATATCTAAGATGGTACGCGTTCTCGTTGGTTTCTTGGTGTGTTTAGTTTGGAGTATCGAGAGAGTATCAAATATGGTTGTGACGTCATGTTTCGTGTGTTCCCAGGTAGATTTTAAAAAAATGACACTTTTGCAAGGTTTATTAAGTAAATTCAAATGTATGAATGACTACGCAAACATTTAGTTTAGCTACCCCCGCCTTCCCTGAGCCCGAGGGAAAAAAATCAAAAGAAAGAAGAAGCACAGCGCGTTGAGTGCCTCGATGATCGTGAGCTTAAAGACTGAGTTCACCGAGGGAGCTCATGCAAAGATGACATAAAAACTACACAAGAAACGTCTAGAGAATGACTTTTGCCTTTAAGCAATACAGTAAACGTTTATGTAAGATATACTATACATGAAGACTAAAAATCACACCAAGCAATCTGCTACAGACTGTATATGTTTTGAATCAAACTTTGCACGGCCGCCCTTTTTCTGGTACGTTCTCGGTGTAAGAGTTTACCTTTACATTGGCAACCATAGTGGTGGACTTTTTCAGTCAGAATGGTATTTCAAACCAACTCGCCTCATTATGATACCCCCTGGCTGCAAGAATGAAAATTCCCTCGAGAGTTACAACGCTCGTTCATTATCGCTGCTGCTCCGCCAGGTGTGCCGCAGTGTTGTCGAATATACCCAAAGACTACAGGCCACACAAGCCCGAGGAGACCAGCAGATCCCCTGCTTGTGCAATGATTTCTAACCAACGAAACTCCACATGGAACGATGAGCGATTCAGCTTCTCAACCATATTATCCTGCTGCCAAACCAGGCTAGTTCATGTCACTTTCAAAATTGATTAAATGTAGTGACATTCGTTTTCAGCCTAAATAAATTCCTCATTTTTTAAGTTCTTTCCCAACAGAAAACATTTGGACATCGTCGAATGTTGTCCTTCATGTTCAGTAGCATTTTAGATAATTAAGCTGACAAAAGCTCAAATGAGGCCTTCAAATACTGTAAAATTGATGTTAGAGTCTCAAAACTCCAAGCTTTCGCCGGTCCACGGTATCATCAGGGATAAGGAAAATATTCCGCGTAAGGCTTAAATACAAACATAAAGCAAACGGGGAGTAAAATGTATGAGATAAATATTAAAGTACAATTATGAATAAAAAATGGATAAGGTGATCTAATGAGCGAGTGTGTATTTAAAATGGTCTGTCTAGATATTCTAAAATAGTCATTAAAACGCAAGGTCCGCGAAGTGTTGATGAATAAATACAATCTAAGTAAGTACAATTTGGTAATAATAATAATAATAATAAACAGTTTAACACTTAGCTAGAAGCTAGTTTACAGGTTTTCCACGAAACAACTTAAACAAATAATTCAAATTGAAAATAACGTTGTTAAGAATCCCAACTGGCCGAAGGCAAACCAGTTGGCTATATTACAAGCATGGCCGAGGATTTGAAACTCGAGGCTACCGTGAAAGAAATCCAAGTAGTGGCCAGGGCGGGACTTGAACCCGGGAGCGGCGGATTGCAAGTCCGACACGCTGACCACTCGACCATGCTGCCTTCATGGTGCTGGAGATACGGTAATTGTCCCTCGTGCATTTCCGTTTCGTGTTGTTGTGGTAGAGAGCTCGTCAGGGAGTTTATGACTTGTACGGGACACGAACCGGTATTCCCTTTTTTTCGGAAAATGTTAGTGATACTGTAGCTGAGTCGTTCGGAAACATATTGGGTAGTCAGGTACGACCGTTCTGTGTTGAGAGGTCGAGGGTCTTTCGGAAGGTTCTTGTCCGGGGGTGCTTCGTTTCGTCTATGTTGCATTCAGGGTTCTCGTTAAGACGAGTTAAAGCAACAGTTAAATCAGCGAAATGCGCGACAACAGCACGCGTACATGACGCTTTGGTTCTGTCCACTTTCACAGGCATGGCGTGATATCTCTCCCTTTAACTGTCCTCTTACACTGTCCAATTACAAGCATGACGCGTACACTGTCCTATGAGTGCTGAAATCGGCCTGGTGAATGCCAATCACGTTCGAGAATTTTGTTACAGTTTTGATTAATTGAATAGTCTACTCTTTTCAGCTTGACTGCTGTTTTGCTGTTTATTTAGTGTATAGGTGTTTAACCACTTGACACTAAAGCATTAGAATAGAACAGTTACTACATTAAAGCACAAAAAACAGTCTTGGTTAACAGAGAAGACGAGCTTGGAGTTTGGTCAGCAAATGATAGAAATAACCATCGACCCTGCGACAGTCAAAATTTGACAGAAACCTGATGCCGTGTATAGCAAACAGATGTTGGAATCGTTTCTCCGAGGCCACAATTCGAGTCAAACCTGTTTTAAGCGGCACCGCGCCCACTCTGTATTAGGCGGTCAATGTCCCGAAATTGTTTCCCCTTGATTACTGTAATTTTCACCTCTCTTCAAATCTATTCAGCCTTTATCAATTCCCTTTTATACTGTTCTCCACCTGTATAATCTTTCAAGTAAAATTTGATCCATCTTTATCTCCCAAAAGTCAAAATAAGTAGTATTTTTGAGTGAGTCACAAAACACGGCGTCTTTTTTTTTTGTAATAATTTCATTTTGTGAACCTGTATTAAGCGGTCCTCTTCATTCCTTGTGGGTGATCGCTAAAGACAGGTTGCTAAAGACAGCTGACTGGTTTTGCCCAAAACATTGTCCTCCACTAATTCCAATATTTTTCAGAAGAATTTATGGGAAAATTCTTCACCTGACTCGTGAATTTCGCGTTAAATTGCATGCCAAAACCGACAAAGAGATGCGCAAAAAGCGTCCTTTTTAACATGGAAGTAAAAGCCTGTGGTGTTTGTGGTCGACTTACGGCCTTATACCAAAAGCGATACATGTTGTCTTTGAAGTGTATAAAAAGACTTGCGATAACTCAACTTCTGAAAAATAATGAAAGAGGGTTTTTGCTCGGTCTTTTCACAGGCTTCAATCAAATCAACGTTAGAAGATCAACTTTGGATAAGGACTGTTTAATATCTGGCCGACATCGTCGAAAACGGGCAAAGTACACAAAAAAGCAACTTATAAAGCTGGAGTTAGAATTTGAGAGGAACCCGTACCCTAATTCATGGGAACGCGAAAGCTTGGCTCAGCAGCTTGGAATTAACGAAACAAGAATCCAGGTAAAAACTATAAGAAAATCTTGTCAGAAATCATTCCCAAAAATCATTGAAGGTAAACAACTCCATGTTGGGGAAAAAATTCTGATTGGCCGGTCTCGCGCTCTAATAAACCCCGGCTCTTGCACATACATGTAGCTCATATCCAGGCTTCTGAAATCATCAAAACGCTCTATAGAGCAAGTTGTTTAGCTGGATATGAATTCATAAAGAGTCAACGCGGGCTGATAGGGTTTGAATGATTGTCCTATTAAAGAAAACAAAAACAAAAAAAAACCAGTTCTGTTTTAAATGTGCATTTTTCAACGAGGCAGAACTGCCATTACTTACCTACTACGACATTTAACGATATTTATCATCCTTCAGGTATGGTTCTCAAATCGCCGTGCGAAGGGAAGAAGAGAACGTTTTGGAGATGAAGGTACTCAGAGGAAAGCTATTCCAGCCCAAGTTTGCACATGTCACACATATTGCAAGCCACTTCGTGCCCCGTGGATGATGGAGACCGGTTTTCCAACATTGTTCTTTCCAGCAGCTGGATACTGGACTTAGTAAAAAACTAATGGTGTTGTTATCAAGTTTTGGACACTAAAATGAGCTTTATTTATACAACGAAAATCCGCGTTCCCACACCTAGAGAAAAAAAAATAGAGTCAGCGATGCCATGACAGAATGTCTCTGTAAATGCGTCGATTGAGGTTATGTGGTTCTAATTTTAAAAGGCGTGGTAGGCGAGTAAGCGCTCAAGGGGTAAAACTACTTCGCTTCCAATTCAGTCGGTCTGCAAATCAGAAATAGAAAGGTTCATTTAATTCTTTTCGCCATCGATGTTTCAATGGATATCCTATGATGTGAGGTTTCAGAGACAGCTTCAAGGCCAAGTGCTAGTAAGAGTCATGAAGTGACCATTATATCAGCCATTTCTAGTTCGTTTTCTATTTGCTTCACACACGTCACATTTTGAGAAAACGAATACATGAGCAAATGTCCCATGGAACGCTAAAACGTTTGCCTCTGTACCTTTAAAAACGTTCAGTTGAAGTAATCAGAGGTTAAGTAGCTATGAATTTTACATTCTTTAACTTTGCACCAGAAAAAGACCAACTGCAGTAGAATTTAAGGAATTAAACGAATTGATCGCCAAGATTTTAAGCCGAAGATGAACTCTTGAATAATGAAAAACATCCTCCTTTTTACAAATGACATTCTCCTCTTGTTTATTTGGGGGATAAGGCACAACTGTCGAAGCTTTTACAGGGATGTTCACTAAGTTGGCCGCTATCTGACCGTTCGAAGTATAACATAAATTAACCTCCCTCGATAACTGTGTTTTTCCGTGACCCGTGTGGCAAAGTGGCGTAATAGCCTACTGTTCCTCTGGTCCTCTGTGCCCATTGTTCCTCTGGTCCTCTGAGCCCTTGGTTTCTCTGGCCCTCTGAACCCACTGTTCCTCTAGTCCTCTCTAGCCTGGTCCTCTCTAGCCAATGTTCAATTCTGGTCTTTTGTACTTACCCATCCTCTGATCCCCTGTGCCCTTTATTGCTCTGGTCCTCTTCACCTGCCCAATGTACCCATGGTCCTCTCTACCCACTGTTCCTCAGGCATTTAGTACCCACTTTTCCTCTGATCCTCTGTGCTCTTTGTTTCTCTTATCCTCTCTACCCATTGTTTCTACCCATTGTTTCTCTTTTTGCACCCACTGCTCCTGTGGTCCTTTGTGCTCCTGTTCCTCTGGTCTTTTGTACCCACTCTGGTCCTCTGTGCCCTTTCTTCCTTTTGTCTTCTCCACCCACTATTCCTCTGGTCCTTTGCCCTTTCTTCCTCTGGTCTTCTCTACCCACTATTCCTCTGGTCCTCTCTACTCACTGTTCCTTTGGTCTTTTATACCCACCTTTCCTCTGATCCTCTGTTCCCTTTGTTCCTCAGGTCCTCTGTACCTGCTGTTGCTCTGGTCTTCTGGATCCCTTTCATCTGGTCCTTGGTGTTCACTGTTCTTCTGGTCTTCTGTACCCACTGTTCCCTGGTCCTTTGTACCCACTTTTCCTTTGAACATCTGGGCCCTTTGTTCCTCTGGTCCTCTCTACCAACTGTTTCTCTGGTCCTCTGCATCCACTGTTCATGTGGTTCTCCCTACCCACTGTTCCTCTGGTCCTTTGTACCCACTTTTCCTCTGATCTGCTGTGCCCTTTGTTCCTCTGGTCCCTCTACTTACTGTTCCTCTGGTCCTCTGTACCCACTATTCCTCTGGTTCTTTGTGCCCGCTGTTGCTCTGGTCCTCCGTCCCCTTTGTTTCGCTGGTCCTCTGTGCCCTTTGTTCCTCTGGTCCTTCATGCCCACTGTTCCTCTGGACTTTTGTAACCACTTTTCCTCTGAACCTCTGGGCCCTTTGTTCCTCTGGTCCTCTCTACCAATCGTTTCTCTGGTCCTCTGGTCCTTCCTACCCACTTATCCTCTGGTCCTTTGTACTCTCTTTTCCTCTGATCCACTGTACCCTTTGGTCCTCTCTTTCCACGATTTCTCTGGTCCTCTGGACCCACTGTTTCTCTGGTTCTCTGTGCTCACTGTTCCCGTAGCCTTCCGTACCCACTTTCCCTCTGGTCCTTCGCACCCACCGAACCCCTGGTCCTCCCTACCCACTGTTCTTCTGGTCTTTTGTGCCCTCTGAATCCCTGGTCCTCCCTATTCACTGTTCCTCTTATCCCCTGTGCCCACTGTACCCCTGGTCCTCCCTACCCACTGTTCCTCTGTTCGTTTGTACCAACTTTTCCTCTGATCCTCTGAGCCCTTTTTTCTCAGGTCCTCACTCCTCTGCTAACTATTTACCTTTAATTACCTTTTTACCTTTAATTACCATTTACCTTTTTTAGATCCGTTATATCAAAGACTTTTCCCGAAGTACGACACAGACTTGCAGGTAGGCGGGAACTGCTTACCAAAAATCATGGAGGAGTTTAGTTTCATTTAATCTGAGATTCTCCAAATTCTATAATTTCTTCCCGAAGAAAGTGACGATGTATTGGGATTTAATTTTCGTGATAGTTTTTAAAGGTAACGTTCGCACATCAGACGGACATCAACATGGCCATTATTATTATTATGCATAATTTCCACTCATCTTATAACAAGTTAGGAAATCAAATTTGAGCCAATTTTTCAACGAATGAGGCTTTATTTATAGTTTTTTTGTTTACCTGAGAGGACTCTTTAGAGGCTGAGACTTAAGTTGCTTTGGTGATTATTACTACACCCACCTAAACCGCCTCCCGGTTAGCTCAATGGATAGAGCGCTGGACTGTTGTGCGGGAGGTCGAGGGTTCGAGCCCCGGCCGGACCAACACTCAGGGTCTTAAAATAATTGAGAAGAATTTGCTACCTTTCTATAACATCAAGAAATGGTTAGATATTCTAGTCTTCTCGGATAGGGACGAATAAATGGAGGTCCCGTCTCCTGCAGGGTTGGGGTAGGAGACGTTAATTTCCCACACACGAGATTACTGTGTGATGGATGTCCTCCCCTGGGGTGGGATGGGTGGGAAGGTGAGATCGATAGACTGAAGCGGCTGCCAGAGGCGCCTGATATGCTGACGTCTGTTCTCAACCTTAAACTGTACCCATCATTCAGCCTCAGGCTGCAAGTGGTCAGAAATAAACTATATTATTATTATCAGGTAACTATGGTTTTATCAACTGATTTGATAATGTAAATTGGCCACAATAAAGAGTTTCCAAGCTGAACCGCCTCCCGGTTAGCTCAATGGATAGAGCGCTGGACTGTTGTGCGGGAGGTCGAGGGTTCGAGCCCCGGCCGGACCAACACTCAGGGTCTTAAAATAATTGAGAAGAATTTGCTACCTTTCTATAACATCAAGAAATGGTTAGATATTCTAGTCTTCTCGGATAGGGACGAATAAATGGAGGTCCCGTCTCCTGCAGGGTTGGGGTAGGAGACGTTAATTTCCCACACACGAGATTACTGTGTGATGGATGTCCTCCCCTGGGGTGGGATGGGTGGGATATAGGGCGCACTTAATTTGGAGCCTCGCTCTGTTGTGCGACCCTCACCACACTCTGGTGAAAGTGATTAAATAAATAAATAAAGCCTAAACAATGATAAGTTCTAGCGGTTGTAATAAAAAGGTGGAGACGCGAATACTGACTTGATATATCAAGAAAAGCTTCACGTTTATGAATCAGATAAATATAAATTCATTATTAAGCTAGTTGTTCACAAATAGGGTAGGTAACAAACGGCGAGAAGCTACCGAGTTATCACTCGACTAATGCCGCCGCCCAGTTAGCCCAATGGATAGTGCTCTAGACTGTTGTGCGGGAGGACGAGGGCTCGAGCCCCGGCCGGACCAACACTCAAGGTCTTAAAATAATTGAGAAGAATTTGCTACATCACAAAATTGTTAGAAATTCTAGTCTTCTCGGATAGGGACGAATAAATGGAGGTCTCGTCTCTTGCAGGGTTGGGGTAGGAGACGTTAATTTCCCACACACGAGATTACTGTGTGATGGATGTCCTCCCCTGGGGTGGGATGGGTGGGAAGGTGAGATCGATGGACTGAAACGGCTGCCAGAGGCGCCTGATATGCTGACGTCTGTTCTCAACCTTAAACTGTACCCATCATTCAGCCTCAGGCTGCAAGTGGTCAGAAATAAACTATATTATTATTATCAGGTAACTATGGTTTTATCAACTGATTTGATAATGTAAATTGGCCACAATAAAGAGTTTCCAAGCTGGCTTTTCGAGCGTTAGCCCTTCGTCAAAGGGAATGACGAAAGGCTAACGTTCGAAACGTAAACTTTGAAACTCTTTACGACGGCGTCTTCTGACGACGACGAAGTCAGTTGATAAAACAAAATTATTACTTTATCAATCGACTAAGTGTGTTTGACAAGCTACCAGTTTCCGTTTGCACAAAATGGTTTTTCGTTATTTTCCATTTATCTATTTGCAGAAGAAAACGAAATGGATATATCGCTGTAAAATAGTTTGCACACCGTGATTTAACTGTCAATTCTTCTGGCCGAGTTTCCAGTTTTCACTGGTTGAATTTTGCTATAGTTCCTGAGCATTAGCAACATGCTGCAAAAAAAAACAAACAAACAAACAAACAAACAAACAAAAAACAAAAAAAAAAGTAGATTTCATATACTAAAAATTATTGATCAAAAATAAGGTCATAAGTTTCAAACTGTGTATCTCGGTATCTACGCTTTCTCCGCCTAAGTTTCATAGATTTTTGGCCATCAAGAAAATTATTTGCGCACGCCTTCAATTTTAAGACGCCATCTTTTAAGTCGCCATCCTTTAAGTCGTCTTTCCTCAGCCACAGATAATTGTCATTCATAAAAGGAGTGAGTTTGGGCTTAATGTTCCCAGTAAACACTATCGACGAAGTGTAAGGGGTTGTAGGGGAAGTTTAGTTGAGTGATCAACTGCAAAAACTTATTGCGCCAGTCAATGTTTTGCTCCAGCTGCTTTTCAAGTATCGTTACGTTATCCGGATTTCCGCTCCATTGTTTCATGTTACGCTAATCAGTCACGTAAATATATCCAAGAGTTAAACTTGAAATCTCCTTTATTTTGAAAGCCTGATAACATAAGGGAAATTAGAAATACTTTGAGAGTATTCCTAGTGTATCGTCGAGTGTTAATTTCAGATCCACACAATAATCTACAACAACATATTGTTTCAGTTTATAATGCACACTTTCACACTTGATACTTTTTCACGTTTATTCTTACCTTCATATCATATGATTTAATCAATCGTTATGTTAACGTGAGCAAAAGTAGAAATTTTATCATTAGTTGAAATATGTGTGGAAGTAAGCACTCAAAGATTATTGCGAAAGAGAAACCGTTTAGACCCGTGCATGAGTTATTTCTGCGAGGCCGATAATACGTTCCAACGACACGAAGGATGAACAGCACGTGGACACACTAAAACATTTCACAAGTACCACAGACTACGCCTATAGCAAAGGTCGTCACGCGGGAGCTAAATTGGTCGACGACGACGCATAGAAATACGTCATCAAAGGTCATTTAATAGAAGTCTGCTGTCGCAAATCTAATTGATAAGTTTCGCGGACGTGATCTTAAATTGTCTCTTAAGGCTATCTTTAGAAACCAGGCTCTTAAAATAGAATAACTCTTTGACGTCAATGCAGAATCCACCTAGACACGATATGCTATATTAGCAGACCACAGTCGCCGTTTAAAGATAAACCAAAACAAACTTATGTAAGCGTGAGACACGTCTAAAAGTCTTGAAAGGAGAAGATGAACGAAGTATTCAAATCAGGTATTAAGTATTTTACAATTAAGCACCTTTTTGTCGAGAACGTGACAAACTAAAAGTCTTTTCGGAAGCTTTTGAAAGAGGTCTGATTTTCGATATTCAGTCCCCATACCACTTCATATCGTATTCATTAAGTAAAATCTCCACAAATATATAAACCAACCAAAACGCGCAAAATATTTAATTTTTTTTTCTCAATTATAAAGTTTATTTCTTCTTTCCAGGTAAGCTAAACCAATTAGGTGGAGTTTTCGTGAACGGCAAACCGCTTCCAAATTCTGTTCGTCAACGAATTATCGAGATGGCTGAGCTTGGTATCCGCCCATGCGATATCAGTCGCCAACTGAAAGTTTCTCATGGCTGTATCAGCAAGCTACTGGCTAAATACAACGACACTGGGTCGTTTGAGCCCGGACGCGCTAAGAGAAAGACATCGAGAGATGTGAGCACCGAAGTGAGGAACAAGATTGAAGAATATCGCCGCGCAGCGCCAGGAATCTTCTCTTGGGAAGTTAAAGAAAAGCTGGTGGCCGATGGTTTGTGTACAAAAGAAACGCTGCCGCCTCTTACCGTGATCAGCAGGTTGCTAAGACGTGCAAGATCGACGGGCAGTGACATTGAAATATCACCTGTTGCCGCTAGGGATGTTGAAATGGACAACTCCAAAGAAAACGATCACCATAAGAACTTCACTGTTTTTTCAATAGACAACATCCTCAAGGAAAAAGACAAATGGGAAAGACCAGAAGAAAAGTTAAACACTGGAGAGATGATTACTACCAAAGAAACTGACCTTGGTAAGCAAACTTATCTATCAATTTGATACTTATTGCGGTAAAGGTAGATACTTGTCTTCTGTCAAAGTAATTGACCTTGGTAAATAAAATTGTTTATCTATTTAATACTTATTCCTACAGAAGTAGATATTTGCCTTCTTAAATCCAATATCACCTAAACAGAATCTTGAACTTAAGGAAACATCCACTTTTTTATGTTACGTAGGATCCACTGTCACCCGGCATTCGGTTCTAAATGACTTACCAAGTCCAGCGAGCAATAATTACAACAACAGTGGCCATAATGCTGTAAGACTGTATCAGCGAAGGAACAGAACCAAATTTACATCAGACCAGATTGAAGAGCTTACAAAAGCTTTTGAGAAAACTCAGTATCCAGATGCTCTAACACGAGAGGAACTTGCCGAGAGACTTCGAATTAGTGAATCCAAGATTCAGGTGAGCAACCTCGCCTTCTGATTCAATGTGAATTACATGACATAAGGTTTGCTAGCACTTCTTTCGAAAGACATCTTCTTACAGACTTCACAGGACCATTCAACTGTAACTATAAACTAAAAAAGGAAATTTTGTAAAGACATTGTCATTCAATTAATTAAGCAGATTAAGGGCGGGAAAAATTGTCGCTGTACGAGATGTAATCTCAAGGCAGAATATTTGATCCTTCTTGTTTGTCCTTTTTTGACAGGTTTGGTTTTCGAACCATCGCTCCAAATCTAAAGGCAAAAAATCCCATAGGGCAGAAGTTGACACGGACGTAGGTGCTACACCGACGACCGAGACGGGTATTTTCTACCCTTCATATCCTGTGGTACCTGTGATACGTTACGCACCGTACATTCAGGCGACTCGTGTTTGTCCCTACATTTGTTACAAGCCCCTTCAAATGGCTTCTCACTAGCTAAAAATTGTAATTTTCCTTTAATGTAAATTTTCATTGAACTTACCATATTGCATGGAACAATTCTGTACAGTTGGTCAGAGATCACATCATTTATTTGACAGTTCGTCACCACATACTAGTCTGTTCGACTGATATTTTTTGTTGACTTGTATTAAACAGAATTCACATTTATTTTACTTTTGCACTCTTGGTCTATATATACCTGTCAACTAAAATTTTCAACGTTTGATACCTAAATTTTATAGTATTAATTTTCAATAAATTTCACGGTTTCTTAGTACTTTATTTGTTTTGACTGGAGTAGGTTATTGCCCCCTATACTCAATAAAGCAAATTTACTATGTCCGTTTGAAACTGCATTACAAGCATTTTCAAGGACTTCGGCGTTCTGGTTAGGTTCTTAATCCAAAGTCCGATATTACCCGATATTTTGAACCTTAGGGACACGACAATGGCTCCACTTCTTAACAAATGACTCTTCAATATATCAAACACACCAACGAATGAAATGCTTATTCAAACTTGGTTTGCTTCGTGACGTTTCCTATTTGGAAGGTGCCGAGATTCGGACTTTCCAGGACTCCTTTTACAGTGGTTCAACTTGAGGCTCTTTTTGCTCAAGAATAGAGTTTTAACGATTTTGATCTTAGAGAGGACATGTCTTCTCCATTGTCGATAGGAAATAATTTTCAAACAAAACAATCTGGTTTTGGTAAGGTCTGTATTGAAGTAAAGGAATCGGTCGGATACAGCGTCAGGGCCGCATTCTCATTAATGGTTTTAAAAGACAGCTCACTTACAGTGGTTTGGAATCTTTGTCCCTTTATCTTTTATGCTTTTTTTTTTTTTTCATGATTCAGAACAAGCACAAATAGAAGACTCGTATGGTTGTCACTTATATTTCTTTACCAAGGCTTCGCTGTGCTTAACATTTCAATTTTAACTCCTTCTTGTTGAGCTTTGAAAACCGGTCTTGGATGTTAAAATCACAAACAAACATTTTATTAGTATTTCGTAACACCAGCCATCCCTCGTCACCGTTGTACTCTTATAGTCGAGGCCAGTATTATCTTCTTACGTTTATCATGCGCTGCACGAGCCTGCTATAACAACTACTGTGTGCTCTCTTCGCAACGAAAAACTGGATGCTTATAGACTAAAAAGTCCTGAAATGTGGTCGAGTTACTTCCCCATACTAAGGAAACTAATAAAAGTGCAGGTGTCAACCGTTTAACCGTTCTTATCGAAACAAAGCACTGTCGCACTAGTCATTGCTCAAGACGCACGAACGATTAAAAATAAAACCATTTGTATCTATACTCAGTTTTTCGATCATTGCTCTGCAAAGCTTTATTCGAATGACAGGCAAGCCAGGGATCGCTGATCTGTGATTCTCTATTCTACTTTATTTAAATGACTCCAGCCTACACGGCTTTTGCAATCACATTGTTTTCAGTTAGGGTACAATATAAAAATTTGGGCAGCGTTTATACAACGGTTTTTTCAACTCACTACATTGAAAATTAACGCACAACAGTTACGTTCAGCTGTCTCTAATGAAGTCCTGAAATTACCCCGTGTCGCCGAAAGTCTCATCGTAAAGAAATGTAGTCATCATAAGGGAAAAGAGACGAGAAAGAAATATAACTTAATAAAATGCAAAAGGGCTTGTTAAACCGCAAATCAAGCGATCACTGGTAGACGTTGCTATTGCGTTTCATTCTTGCGCAATAATTTTAGGTCATTTTGCCTTTACCTGACCTTAGGTCTCAAGGTAAAATGGTTGTACCACGGCCTATAGGGAGAGGAGAAACTACAGGTCCCTAGAGGTGTCTTGGCAGTAATGGAGCACATGGGTTTGTAGAATATCCAATTAACCCATGTGAGCCAAATGAAGACAAAATATTCCGCTATTAGGTAAGTTCCGCCTGAAGAACAGAGTTGAATTTGTACGCTCCCTAATGTTGATGACAATGGCAACTTAAACCTTGGCTAATAAATGTCTATAGTTAATATCAAAGTTTCATTTTAGTGACAAAGATAACAATATCGTTGTCAACACATTTCGCAATCGATTGAAACACCTTCAACTTCCTGAGGAATATATCATGCTATACGGCTTTGTTTACAAACTTGCACCTGTACCATTCTCGCGTTAATTTTTAAAGGTAAACTTAAACTTCGATGAAAAAATCTACGGGACTAGCTCTTTTAGATGTGTAAAGGAATACAAAATTATTTCTTGGCTTAATCAATTTAGTGAATTGCAGATCTGGCGTGGAATTGGCAAGATGAGGGGGCGTTTAAGAAACTTAACAACTAACAGGAAGTCATACTTCACGCTACGCGCTGGAGCCTATTGTGAATAATATTGCGAAATATGTAGATTTCACTTCCTGGGCTCATCAATTTTTCATCTTGAACATCAAGCGCCCGCATATCATTAAGGGTTCTGCGTAAGGAAAATTTCTTTTTCTCTATCAAGATTTCGTCTTACTTGAAATTGATCATAAAACTATGTGATATTTTAAGAAACCGTTTTTATTACATTTTTTACATAGTTCCTCTGACATACCGTCACTTGGAAGTCGTGATTTCCGCCGACAGTGACCTTGAGAGAACATGTACACTTTTCTTTTCTTCCGACCGCGAGGTCATGTTTTGTAACCACACTCAATAATTAGATTCGTTGAACCCGAAATTTCTGCAATAAATTCAGAACAAGCTCCCTCACAAAAAAGGACAAAAAAGCAATCGTCGTCTTTTGTCTGTCCTGATTTGCTTTCTTGTTTCGAAAATTGTAGTGACAGTAACGATTGCTTTCCTTTCAGTAGAAGCCGACCTCAGTGAGTTCGCGTGACTTTGAAGCTCCCGAAAGAGATAAAATTTGCATTTGCAGCTTAGTTTGTATTGCCCCTCAGGGCGTTCCATTGAACGTCACGCTAACTCAATCGCACGTGAACAGCAAATGGTTTACAATTACAGGATAATACAAAGTGCAACAGACTATCCCGTCAAAACAAAATAATTATCACTCTGTAATATGCGAGCAGTCGAGCTCGTGCCACGCTGTAATGCGCACGGGACAATAGCCATACAAGACTTAAGCGTATTTTCCTTCCAGTCTGGAAAGCATTAAGAGAGGTGTTCCTTTATCTTTATCTTCTGGGATGTTAATAACGTTTTGGAACAAGCAATTTTTTTGAATGAAGGGACCTTGTGGTTCGTCGATGAAATACAACGTATTCGTAACTAAATTCTAAATTCAAAGTAGTTCAGGTATCATAAAATCGGCACATCCGTTTCATATTCCTAAATTGCCGATCTAGAACGACTCCAAGCATCCTCTAAGCTTGACAAAATCAGTAACGATCCCTTGTAGTCATTTTTGGTGTTCGTCCTCTACCGTGGTAAAAAATTGATATTCACGATTTAACTCCTTAAAACGCTTTTTTAAAAATTTCTTTGAAGGTTAACTGCGCAAGTATCTTGACGCCCACGTACAACTCTCTTGAAATACATTCGTAACGAAAATTAATAAATTTCTAGTTTATGCAGTGGGATCAAAAATGAGATCCGTCGTCAGAACTGTGGTAAATTGCATTTCACTGATGTAAAAGAACTGTAACATGCATGATTATTTCGCCGTAAATAACGATCACTCCCCTTAACTACAGCAAGACAGCATACCCAAATAAAAATTTATCTTCTAACATTACAAATGTATTTTTTGATTTCGTGGATTTAAATTATACCAAGCTTGTTGTGGCTTCGAAACTCACAGCGGAAGTAGAAGCCAAGTGTAAACAGCCCGTACAGACGATTTATTCACGATCACGTAGTAGGAAAGCAGTACTTGTCTTTGTTTTGACCACTGACGTCAAACGCTCTCCCCGCCCACACTGTATCTTATAACTTACTAAGCCTCAGTCACACACTAGGTAATCGGACTGAAAGCGCCGCATCTTGGCAAGTTTATCTGGCAGAAAAGCTAAAAAACACTTCTTCGTCTTTGTTTTAGAAGCGGAATTTGCCATTTTCAACCAAACAGAGGATTATGGAATACAAGGATATAAACTCCACAGCAGGCATGTTTAATTCTGTTTATGTTAAGCTTCACTTCTATCAGTAACGATTAACCACGTACACCGGGCATCCTAAAACCCTGTTAAGAATGGTAACTTGGCCTTCGGTGTATTCAGCCAAACACATGAATTTTTCCTAATCGAAATCGTTGGTCAAGAATCGATTAACCAAATGGCCGGTAGCTATGTAAAGTCCATAAAGTTCCATAAATATGGTGAATTTAGGTATAACGGAATAACTTACACATGGAGATAATGATAATGATTATAAAAACAAAACAGGAAAAGGAAAAAGTCGCATTTGTTTGAAATGCAGCTATAAAATTTACCTCGTCTAAGCTTTAAAGGACCAGCTATGTTCAATACGTTCACAGTTGACCAATGGACATTATTTAAACGAAGGAAATGAATATACGCTTTCTGATTGCCATGCCTCGTGTCTCGCAAAAGAGGAGCGCGAATACTCGTCTTGGCAATTGTTACAATTTTTTCACAGTAGCCAACCTTGAATAAATACACTCATTTATGCGGCCACTTAGTTCCAGCCCCGCTCTGCTTGAAGAAACGAATATAAGTCGAGGATAAAGTTTATGACAGAAACGTAACACTTGTTAGACTTTATCGAGACACCAAACAACTACAAGTCGTCTGGCATCCTAGCGGAACTATCGATTCCTTAACCACTTTTTTAATGTTACTTTAGGTCACGGAAAGTTCAACCAGCTAGGTGGAGTTTTTGTAAATGGAAAACCTCTTCCAAACTCTGTACGTCAACGAATTATCGAGATGGCTGAGCTCGGCATCCGCCCATGCGATATCAGTCGACAACTGAAAGTTTCTCATGGCTGCATCAGCAAGCTACTTTCTAAATACAATGATACTGGGTCGTTTGAGCCCGGACGCGCACAGAGAAAGACATCGAGAGATGTGAGCACTGAGGTAAAGAACAAAATTGAAGAATATCGTCGCACAGCACCTGGAATCTTCTCTTGGGAAGTTAAAGAAAAGCTGGTTGCCGATGGTTTGTGTACAAAAGAAACTCTACCACCACTGACAGTTATTAGCAGAATGTTGAGAAGGGTCAAGTCAACTGGAAGCGACTATATGGACAAGTCTGAAGGAGAAAACAGTGACGCAGAAAGTGAGGGTGATACTTCAAGCAACGACAATGGTAGTTCAGGAGAAGCCAAGCCCAGGCCG